CTCCTTTTTCTCTATAAAATAATCTTCCTCTCCTTTGCTTACTGGACTTGCCTATGGCTTTTGCTATAGCTTGCTTTTCCTGAATTGCAATTCATCCTCTATTCCCTAATAAACCCATTTTGCTGGTAAAAAAACAAAAACAAAACTGGCTGTTTTATTTGTTTAGGTCAACATTACTTGGTGTTAGAAGTGAGATCCAGAGAAGACCCTCCCATCCCAACAACTCTGAGGCTGGAGAGCAAATAGGTGCTAGTACTCACTGAGCCCATTGCCCTCACTGCTTTCTCATTGACCCTGGAGTTTGAGGGTAAGTTTTCTGCTGGATTCAAGCTTTCTTTGAGTTTTGAGCTCTCCAGGCTTTATTTGGGATCTGTTTTTTATTTTTATAAAGGCCTCATCATTTCTGTTTTACGGTCTTTGTCCTTTTTATGAACACTCATTTAGCCTTTGGTCTGACTGTTTTGGAACCAGGCTGTTCCTATTGGAACTGTGCTAACATTTGGCCCAACTCCTTTGGATATGGGCTGTTCCTATTGCAAATGTGCTGGTATTTGGCTTGCACACTGTTTAGGAAGTTTTCTTTTGCTCTAGAGAAAAACCTCTGATAAATGGGATCCTATTCATCTAAATGCTTTGAGGGCACCCTTCTTTCAGAGACCCCAGCTGGTTTTATGTTCAAAAATTGTGGTCCATCTTCATGTGCATTTCTAACTAAATAGATGAACTTAACCAAAAGTAATTAAGATTCAGAAGTTTACAAAAGACAAAATGACTTCAAAAACAGCTCTAAAAGAATCCTTATATCGTGCAAAAAAACAACCAAACACACAAAAAAACCTTTGGTAAAATACGATTAATAAAAACTTTGGCTATCTGACCAGGTAATCTTAATTTAGTCCATCTGCTAGAGAGTTCTTATGAGTTTTGTACCTGATATATGGCTAAAATTTTTTAATAAAGCTGTAAGATCTCTGTGTCTATCTGTATGTTATGTATGTTCATATATGTATGTAACAGATATGTGATATTTTTCTACTTCTGGATAATGTTACCAAAGTTAATTTGTAAAAGAGCTCTATTTATTGGGTTAAGGAAAATCATATGCTTATATAAATTAAGCAGTCCTAAAAAATATTCTCAGGAATATAATAGAAACTAACCCAAATGTTTTTCAGGTTCACATGATCTGGGAAAATGTGCAAAATTAAAGCTAGTTTAAGTTTGTTGGGCTAAGTGAAGCAGGCATGTCTTTAGAGTTATCAGCATTAAATATAATATTTTTATTCTACTCGGGTTTATTAGTAAAATAAGTTCATGCTATCTTTGTTGCAAAATTTGTCAGCAAAAAATTTACTTGAGATGATGGCTGACTTTGTCTTATGTCCCATGAAGTTTTTCTGAATAGTCTAAACATAATTTTTGGGAAGAAATTATTTAGATAGATAAAAATGGGATAAGTCTTAAGATGCAATAATTATGTTTTATGGTATTTGTGCTGAAAAAAAATTGCATCCCCAAATCTTTTCAGATAACTCAAAGCTTTAGAGTTTTTGCTAAGTTAAATTAAAAGATAGAATTTCATTGAATATCTGGATCATTCTCCAAACAAGATAAAATACTAAAACATTAATTACTGAACATACACCTATCTACTTTCGGCTTCCTATTGTAGAGAAACCAAAGATAAATTTGGGTCTGTTAGTAACCATGTCTTGTGCCACGTTGAAAGATTATACTATTTAAAAGGGTATCTGCTTCTAGAAATTATGAAATATATTTATAAATTTGCTAATCCACATTGCTTACTTCTTAGTTTTCACTAGGAATCAAGGATTCTAAGGCTTAAGAATTCTAATTAACATATGTAATTAAAGCTAATAGGAAGGGTAAGGGAAACATCCCCATATGCAAAGAAAGTAGAATGTGTGTTTTGGGGTTAGAAAAAGGTGTGAGGTATGGAGATATATTTTTGTTCATGAAAAAGAAAATAATTTTGTCCTAAAAGAAAATAGTTGCTAGAATAAAAAAATGAAAGGATAGGACAAAAATTGAATGTAAAAAGAAAATTGTAGACAGTCTGTGAAATAAGAATCTTTAGTTAGCAATTTTATATGCAATCAAGCTGGATAAGATTAAATAAAATTGCTACAAGTGTGTTAAAGTACGCTTTAATAGCAATAGTGTACTTATGTAAAACAGGAACTTAATTTTTTTTCATCTGCTAAAAAGGACAAAATTTGCTTGGGCTATTGATCTGTTCCTGATAAGAGACTGTGAAAGGTTTTTTCTTACTTTTTTGTGTTTTATCAAAATTATTTCCTGTGCTTTGTGTTAAAAGCTAAGAGTTTTCTACTAAAAAGAGCTAAGATTTTTGCAGCTATCTAATCTTTTATATTTGTCTTTGAAATTTTTTTGTCACTTTGGTTAAATGCATAAGTAAGTATTGTTTTATAATTTTCTGGGATCCAATTTGGTCAAAAGTCCAAAACTTGTGTATTTTTGACAAACTTCCCCCAAATCAAATTCTAAATAAATTATTTTTGACCTGAAAGTAACTTTGGGAATTTCCAGAGGGCCCCCGGGCTTTCTCAAAGAATTTGTTCTCTTATGAAAAATGGAGATGTTAAACTAATTAGGCTTATTTGATGTGTCAAATTATGTAAGAAGCACTGTCAAATAAACGATGATAAACTTTCTTAGGTTATATTATATAGGTGAATGTTATTAAAATAAATGTTCTAGAGATTGTATGAAAATTCTTAAAAGTCTGATATATCCTAGTATAATGTTATTAGTGATAATTTTATGTCACAATATAATGTGTGTCACAAAAATGACCAAATTTACTTGGCAATCACATTATAATGAACCTTCATCACATCTCTAACCATTGCTATTTTTAAGTCTTTTGTCATTTAAAGACAGTTAGTGTTTTACTCTGGTGCTTTGCAAATATATTTATCTTCAGAGAAATTCATGGAACAGATCCTGACAAATACTCTAGAATGCAGGTCCTTGATAACTTTAAGTTGACCACACTGAACTGGATTTAAAGGACCCCCTTTTCTCCTCTCCTTTGAGAAAGTGTATCTTTACAACACAGGTTAAAACATTTATCTTTTTCTCCATCTCTGATCCCTCCAGAATTTGGAAACTCCAGTATTCTTTTCATGACAGTATATGTATTTGCATAAATTCTATTAGAATCTGTTCTCCTTATAACCAGAGACAAGTGGAAACATTGGCTATATTACCAAGGCTTTGACTGGAATGTCATTTTCAAGAGAGGTATACATAGACTCAGGTATTTACTATGCTTATCTTTGATAAAAATGAGAGTAATCATAGAGAGAGAAATTATATTTGTGCCTTTGTAGATATTAAATTCTAGTCCTACTAATTGTCTTTAAGGTTTTGGTATATACCTGTAAGTTAGACTGGATCCTAAATTTTTCTAGTTTCCTGAAATGTCTGGCTACAACTCTCCAAACTAATGTTTCCAATTTTCTTACTGCCCTTGAAGTCTCCTTGGAAGGGATTATACCACTCCTTAATACCCAGATGGCAGCCAAACTTCAGGGACTCGAACCTTGGGTACACATCTCACAGCTAAAGAAGTCTCCACCTGACATCTGGTCCTGTACAAATGCTGGAGCTCTCCAAATCAAATTGACCAGGAAGAGAAGCAGCTGACATCTCAGGCAGCTTTTCTAAGATGACTGGACCGGTCCTATATACCCTTTTCTCACTGTTATTTATTCTCTCTTTCTGCTTTGTGGAAAGACAATGCCCTTGTCCACATTTCGCAAAACTTTGCAAAAGAGGAAAACCTCTTTTGATTATGGCCTTTTATAAACAGCCTCATCATTATCCTTCATGACAAATTAATCTTTTCACTTGCTTTTTCTGAAGATTTGGAAAGTTCAGAATTCACAGAACTCTTTCTTTCATCTGGACTATTAATTGACTCTGGATTCTTATCCAAATTCATGGTCTCTGAATTTGCAAACTTACAGGCTGCATTATTGGATAAAACCTTTGGTTCCAAACAATTCTTTTGAGATAACAACACTGTTTTAATACATCTTTGAAGTTTTGTTATTTTTGCAAAGTTCGTCAGCTATTGCTTCTTGTTTATTCCTACACTGTGTCTTCCAAATGCCCTCAGTGAATTCTTTCACCTTGAATGTACTCTTGCTGTATTCACTATTCTAAAATATAAACTTTATATGGGAAAATGCCTGAGAATTCTCCCTCCTACCCCTCCCTTGTTACTTGAATGTTTCCAATCTGTGCAATTTCCCTCTGACAGGGGATATCACATCCAGAAAAGATCTTTCCTGGCAACAAGGGACAAAGGCCCCTGAATTCAGAAAACCTAACTCTTGATCAGTGATGCTTTTGGAGAAAGCTCTTGATCAAAAGGGAGAAATATGAAACTGAATAAAACAAACCTCATTTAAAATGGAGTCATGTGGCCAGAAGGGAAAGCTCTCATGCACTGCCACTCAACATCAATTACAAGAAGAATCAAGAATTACAGACTCCAACAGGAAGAGATGCATGTTGCATCCCCAACAAGAAATCGACTACTCCAGCAGCTCAGCCAATGAGAAACCCTGAACTCTCATTTTCCATCAATGGACTTTTGTTCAAAACAGCATCTCCCAATTTTCTCCTTTTTCTCTATAAAATAACATTCCTCTACTTTGCTTACAGGACTTACCTATGGCTATTGCTATAGCTTGCTTAGCCTGAATTGAAATGCCTCTGCTATTCTTGAATAAACCCATTTTGCTGGTAAAATAACTGGCTTTTTTATTTGTTTAGGTTGACACTAGTCATCATGAGGTGACCTTCATAAAACAGTTGTGTGAGAACACTATATAATAGTTCATACAACTGTACAAGATGTGCAAACAGTCAGGTGGCATTGGGAGAATGAGCCCACAGATAAAAGAAACAGTGCTCATAGAGCCTTTGTCCATTACATCTCCTACCTGCAGTGCCAGGTCCCTTCTTTCCTTACAGTTTCCATTATTCAAATTCCAACTTGTGATTCAAGGCCATCTCATATGGCCTCTTCTTTGAAGCTTTCTCAAATTGTCGTTCCAATTCAAACTTCCGTAGTCATCTGTCTGTAAAATAATCACGTAGAAGATGGGGAGTGCATAACTTCAACAGTCAGACTCCCAGCTATGCCACCTATCCCAATGGAATCTTGGGCAAATTGTTTAATCCGTCTGAACCTTAATTTCCTCATGTAAAAGTCGAGATAGTAATAGCACCTTTAACAATGATGACGTAGTCTATTAAAGTTCTTAGCACAACCTGGAATATAGTAGGTGTTCAAGAAATGTTAGATATTATCAGTATTATTATTATAGAAATAATTATTTTTCAGTGTATGATAATACTAGCATAATAGCTGGTACATAGTAGTGAAATATTATCTTCTTATAATTTATTATTTAATCATTTTATATTCTGTATTTTTTCTTTTCCTCTAAGAACTCTTAATAACACTGAAAATTTCTTTTGTAGTTAGTCACTTACCCATCTTGTCTCCCCAGTGAGATTCTAAGTTCTTGAAGGCACATTGTTTCAAAACATCTTGTCTGTGGAAGGCAGAGAAATTTGAGGTATTCACAGTTTTAGTGTTATTTGCTCTCTGGTCAGGGAATTGCTAACCTCCCTACAAATGAAAGAAATACCACCCTTGAATGCAAGTCCAGCTGTGCTGCTCTGCAAGGCTAACTCAGCTAGGGAGGACACATGGTCTTTGTTGCCCTTAGCAACTGGGAAGATTCCAAATAAATGCATTAATCCAAATAAATGCAGCATTCCCTACGCAGGACAGACAGTGTGTATAGGGAATGTCTTTAAATGAGTGGTGACTCAGAAAACAGGGCCTCTTTCCTCTAGCATTAATAAATATGGCAAACCCCAGACAGCCTGGGTATGTAGGTTCTGGGCAGAATTTGATTTAGGATTTTCTTTTCCCAGTAAGTCATAATTGCCATGGTGCTAACACCTGTCACTAGAAAAAGGCAAAAATCAGTGTAATTACCAGATTAATTGCCTCAGGAATACATTCTTTTAGTAATTTGGTTGGAGGAAGTTCAAGAATGCAAGTGATGAGTTGGTTTCAAATGTGGGAATGACTGAAGTTGCCCTAAGTGCCGAGCTCTCTGAATCTAAGGGAGAAGGGGGAGGGTAAGGGAGTCATGTTATTATTAAAGACAATAGAAAATCAAGTTATTGAAGACTCATTCAGTGATGGGTAAAATCAACTCTAATAATAATCTTTCTAGTCTGCATGAAAATATAAACAAAAAATTATTAGATTTCCCAACCAAGAAATTAGTGATGGGGTTGGCCTGATAAGAAGATAATAATTGATGGCCTAAAGAACACTTGTCTGACATTATATCCACCTCTTAAAATAAAGCCAGATTAAAGAGGACTAAGCAGGGGAAGGGTCTTTAGGTGATAGGGTAGAACTTACATCTGATAGCATACTGCTGGCAACATTATTTTCTTGTTGTCTACGTCATTAAATTCCTTAAAGGTCCTATAGGCCATCTAGATAAAATTAAAATCACAAACCAATGTAGTGATCCTGTTCCTAGACCACCAACTTTGAAATTCCCATTGCTAATGGTCCAATTTCCTTGAAATCATTTTAGCAAATCAAATTATAATAAAGAGTCTGACTCCAGTTTTGATGTTTAACCTCTGACAGCTTTCAAGCCTTACTCCTTCCACTTCCCCTTTTTGCTCCACATCTGAGTAAGCCAGAAGAAGATCCACACACTGTCTCCCTTGGCACCGGCAGAATATTCAAAACATGCAAACGTTAGCCAGAAGTAACATTTATCCTGGCCCCAACCCTAGCCCCAATAAAAACCAAAGCCACCTGTCTCTTCTTTCACTCAAGCCATTCCAGACAGGCTTGAGTACCTGCCCTATTCTTCACCAGGAAGAAAAAGAAATAAAAGGCATACAGATCAGAAAGGAAACATAAAACTGTCTTTATTTGAAAGTCACATGATTACAGGAAATCTTAAGGAATCTACCTAAAAGGAACTAGAAGTAATATGGGAGTTTAGTAAGTTCACAGTATACAATTCAATATTTTAAAAATCAATTGTATTTGTATCTACCAGCAACCACTGTAAATGGAAATTTTTAAAATTATCATTTACTATAGCACAAAAACTATAAAATTCTTAGATATAAACTTAACAAAATATATACATGACCTGTACACAGAAAACTATAAAACATTGCTGAAAAAATTTAAAAGACATAAAGTGATGCTTATGGATTAAAATATTCAATATTGTTAAGATGTCAGTTCTCTCCAAATTAATTTATAGATTCAATGAAATCCCAATTAAAAATCCCAGCAGGCACCTTTTAGAAATTGACAAGCTGATCCTCAAATGTGTATAGAAACACAAACAAACTTGGGGTTGGCCAGTGGCGCAGCGGTTAAGTGCGCACATTCTGTGTTGGCAGCCTGGGGTTCCCTGGATCAGATCCCGGGTGCAGACATAGCCTTGCTTGGCAAGCCATGCTAAAGTAGAGGAAGATGGGCATGGATGTTAGCTCAGGGCCAGTCTTCCTCAGCAAAAAGAGGAGGATTGGCGACAGATGTTAGCTCAGGGCTGATCTTCCTCAAAAAAAAAACAAGAAAGAAAGAATTACAAGGGAGCTAAAATAGCCAAAATAAGTTTTTTTAAAAAAAAAAACAAAGTTAAAAAGACAGAATGGTATTGTCATACATTAAACATATAGATCAAAGGAACAAAATTAAAATTCATAGACAGACTCTCATATAAATAGCCAATTAATTTTCAACAAATGTGCCAAGGCAATTCAGTGGGGGAAAGGAAATCTTTTCAAAGAATAGTGCTGAAATAACTGAATATCCATACGTAAAAAAAAAGGAATCATGTTGACTCTTACATTCTCCAATATATAAAAAATAACTTCAAATGGAACAGAACCAAATATAGTTTTAGTAAGAGCTAAAACTATAAAATTTCCAGAAGAAATCATGGGAGAAAATCTAGTGACCTCTGGTTAGACAGTTTTCTTAAATTGGATACAAAAAGCATGAAGTATTTTAAAATTGAAAAATTTGATTTCATCAAAATTTAAAACTTTTGCTCTTCCAAAGACACTGTGAAGAAAATAAATAGGAAAGCCCCACAAACCCTTATATGAGAAAATATTTACAAAACTTATGTCCAATAAAGAACTTTTATCCAAAATATATATTTTAAAAACTCTTACAACTCATTAAGGCCAAAACAACAGAAACAACAAAAAGAGCAAAGATTTTGAACAGATACTTCACCAAAGGAGACATACAGGTGGCAAAAGATTCTCAAAATCACTAGTCACCAGGGAAATGGAAATTAAAACTATAATTGAACATTACTACTCATATTCTAGAATTTCTAAAATCAAAAAGACTGAGAATACCCAAGGGTTGGCAAGAATGTTGGGCAATTGAAATGTTCATAAATTTGGATTTCTTATAAAGTTAAGCATATATTTACCATATGACTCAGCAATTCAGGTTTTAAAAATGTACTGAAGAAAAATGAAAATACATGCCTACACAAAGACTTGGGCTCATGTGTTCACAGCAGCTTTACTCATAATAACAAAAAATAGGGGAAAAACAAATAGTCATCAGATGGTAAATGGAATAAACACAGTGTGATATCCACTAGAACACTACTCAGCAACAAAAAGAAACAGACTACTGACAAACACACAGCATGGATGGATCCTAAAACATTATGCTAAGTAAAAGAAGTCAAGACTGAAAAATAAAAAATTACATAGTGTATTTCATTTATATGAAATTCTAGAATAGGCAGAACTGTAGTCAAAGAAGGCAAGCTCAGTGGTTAACAGGAGCCAAGGAATGACAAGGGAGGATGGACTGCAAATGGACGCAAGGGACATTTTTGAAGTGACAGAAGTGTTCTATATCATGATTATGATGGCTGTTACACAACTGTATACATTTGTCAGATTTCGTAAAATTTTGCATTTTGTCCCATGAATTCTATTCTAAAACTCTGTTCTAATGGAGAGATCTTTAATATGTGGAAAAAATTAGCCACAATGGTATCTATTGCACGTTAAAAAATAATAGAAAACTTGGAAATAATGTCTAATTGTAAGAAATTTAGTTAAATAAATTATGGTATACCTATAAGAAGGATTGCTATGAAGCTATTAAAAAATGATGGTGTAGAGGCTGGCCTGGTAGTGTAGTGGTTAAGTTTGTGTGCTCAGCTTTGGTGACCCAGGGTTCACACCTTCAGATCCCAGGCAAAGACCTAAATACCACCCATCAAGCCAAGCTGTGGTGGCATCCCACATAAAAAATAGAAGAAGATGGGCGTAGATGTTAGCTCAGGGCCAATCTTCCTCAGCTGAAAAAAGAAAAAAATTATAGTGTTGATGAATATTTAATGACACAGAAAGATGTATGATTACTTTTATGTAGATAACAAAGCAGTATATCTATAGTCCATTTTATTATCCTTTTATGTGATTGTTACATGTATGTATAAACGTGAATATGTATGTGTATATACATATATTTAGATCTCTATATATTATAAGGTTATGTACCACCATATTAACTGCTTCTTTCTTCATTTTGTTTATCTTTATTTTCCAAGTGTCTGATAATAAGCATGCATTTCTTTTGAAGCAAGAGAAAAAAACAAAATTTAGTATCTTAAAAAATACATATCTTGTCTTTACAAGGCTTAGTGTCTAGACAGAGAAAGACACATGTAAATACCATAATACATGGTAGAATGAAATAAGCCCCCATTGGAGGTGAGGGAGAAATGGTTGTGTCAAGTACAGTTTCACACCAACGCTGGAACTACTGCTCTCTCCAACATCCAGACCATGGCCTGTTCTACCTACACCACTGGGCTTACTGTCTTCACTCATGTGGATTTTCTCTCAGGGGTTTCATGATCTCTGACTGCCATCCCATCCCTGAGTCCAGGGCATCAGACAAGAATATCCATATTTGAACTTCAGTTGTGGACTGAGTTCAAGTTCCGTCTCACGACAAGTCAAAGATACACCTGGACATCTGCTGCAGTGTCCTTGAACTGAAGGCTAAGTACCATTTTCAGAGGTCCCCCAGAAATTCCGTGATAGAAGATGACTTGCTCAGGAGAAAGAATACCTCTAAAAGACATTGTATCCCCAGTGTCTGGCACACAGTCGGTGCTTAGCAATATTTGCTAATTGCCTAGTGGACAATATATTGAGAATAAAAGCATGGGCTCAATATTGTTTTGGCAGACTGGTCATTGCCTTGGCTTAAGCTGGGAGGACTTTCTGAAAACACTGGAATTCTTTGATTCAAAGCGTTGTCTGCACAATGCCTCCACCCTTGTTGTGGTCTTACATTTGCGGCAATTCGAGGACAGAAATGTTTCCTGCTGGTCATTAGGATGCTTTCCATCTCACCAGTTGGTATATTTACAAACTAAACCTATTTCCAGTGTTTTCTACGCAATTTTCCTGTAGTGCTGAGCAGAGTTGAGCAAGTTAAGCAACGAGCAGTTTGGTTCAAATTCTCCAACTCTTTCTCAATTTTTTGGATACACTAAAACCACGAACACATTTCTACCTGGAAGTTTTGTCTTTCATTTTTCAACCTCAATGGGTTTTCAACAAAACTGAATCCCTGTTGCAGATCTCTTTGTGTTCCAGTACATCCAAACTCAACTTTGCCAGAACCATCTAGTGTTTCTGGTTAGAAATCTCCAAATACTTGTGTCTAAGAAAAGGATAGCCGGAATCGCAATATACATTCAAAAAAACTAAAAGTGAAAAAAACCAAGTGTGGATAGAAACTGTATAATATAATAAAATCCAAATCATGAATCCTAATTTATGATGTAGAAAAATGAATACTGACTTAGGAGTGACATGTTGAGTCCAAAATCTCCTTTTACGGTCTGATTGGTTAAGGCAGGTCACTTGAACTTTCTGGGCCTCAGTTTCTCCCTTTCTTGTCTGAGAGCGGGTTTCTTTCATTTGGGTCACTAAGTTCCCTTCAACTCTAATATTCTATGGTTTTATAATGTTCTCTTGCAGATGCTTGGGGGAGGCAGTCATTTGGCAAGATGCCTCCTCAGTCACTGCCTTGTCTCACTGCTTGTCAGTGTGTGCAAAAACAATAAATAACCCATCGGTTGCAAGAAAAGTATGTGCTGGATCAAGCTGATGTGTCTGCTCTCTGCCTTCTGGAGTGGACGGAGGAGACTTTGATGTTGTTGGAATGAATTCCACATTTTGACCTAGGGACCCCTCAGCTCCAAGTGGGCCCCATTGCCAAATACAGGAAACAATGATTTCCAATTAAAGAAACGTTCTGTACCTCTTTCAAAACTGCCAGGGTTGTTTCATTTTAGAAAGAAAAAAATAATCCCAAAGATTAAATTTCTTATCTGGAAATGGTAAAAAAAAAATAAAAAGAGGGCCTAGAACATGCTCTTCATATACTGATCCTACATAATGGCAGGTAAGGAACAGGCTAAGTGATATAGCCAGTCTGAATGTTAATATGGAGCTTACCCACATTCTTGATTTATTATGGAGAAAACAGACATGAAACACTCATGTAATCCTACATGGCATCCGAAAGTCTCGAGGCATTTCTCTGCTCAACCCTGATGTCCAGATCAACACGTTCCTTGGACTGGAGCTTTGTGGTGGCCCATGAAATTGGTTATGTACAAGATGCAGCACACTTCCTGTCATGTAAGAATTGCTACTTCTCTTCTCCTTCCCCAAATGTGATGTCAAAACTATCCAAAAGCCTGTCTCCTCCATATTCATTCAGCTCCTTTAGAGTAGAATAGCATTTTCTGGCATGTATGCCCTGGAACTCCAATCCTGACAAATAAATAAAGTGACACCTGTACTAATAAATTTGAGATGTGCTGCATAATCTCTCCTTCTCTTGAGGTTCACTTAGAAAATCAAAGGCTCTAAGAAGTTGCACACACAATAAGTGGTGGTTTTGTTAATGACCAGGGAGAGCAAAGACTACAGGGTAAAGGACGCACTTCATTTCTCTGTAAAGACTATTCATATTTCC